CCGTGCGGGGCCCCGCATCGGACACGTGTGGCGGGGGGAGGATGCGGCGGCGGGGAACGTCGGTCAGTGCGTGGGTTCATAACCCGGGCTCGGGGTTGCTCGCAAACGTGCGGGACGGCTCGCCAGAATCTCCTGCGCTGCTTGGCTGTTAACTCCTCCTTTGCTGGGACAAACCATCGGTAAAGCGGCACGCGCGCCCAGGCAGGCAGAAGAAAGGGGCTGCTAACCTGACTGAGGTGATACTTGAGAAAACTGGGGAATCTCCCCTTCAAGCAAGGATTTTTCCCGGTATTTTTTCCCGTCAGTATTTTGGCGGCAGCGCAGGCCGCGCCACAGGCGCCTGCGAATGCCCCAACTTTGTGGGGAGGAAGATGAGATGGAGGGAGCAGCCCAGCAGGACTCGTCTGGTATGAAGATTTTTCTCAGTAATTGGTTGTTGTGTTAAGTTTAAGGTTGGTGTCTTCTTGTCGTTGTCATTTTAAGTGCTGTTTACTTGCAGGAGGGGTAAGTGTTGACGCTTCCTGCTGCATTTGCTGCGCCTAGAAATCTGCATGTGTTTATGAAATTCTGCACAGGGTTACCTCTTCCCTAGGGATTTTGGTCGCCTTTTTATATGCTGCATGCCGTAGTGTGCTAGTCTTGTGAAACCCAGCTCCTACGTATGAGAAAAGTCTTGCTAGCTGCAGAAATAAAGCAGATTTTGTTATGTCTGTCCAGAGGTGGTTGTGTTTTATTTCCTGCTAGAACTGCACTGAGCGCAGGTTGTTTATGGGGGAAGAAGGAACGCAGCAAGAGCAGAAATGGGGCTCTACTTCATTCCTGTATCACAGGATTCCTGCATTTCAGGTCTAAATCTTACCAGGGCATCTTGTTTAAGACATGTTTTAGAGGAAGGAAATGAATGGCCTCCCCTACCTATTTCACAGTAGGATTATGTGCTCTTTTTTTTTTTTTTTTTCCTTAAATTAATAATGTTCGGATTTGGTTTAATTATTTAGTTATTCAAATATGTATCTCTCAAACTGACTGTAAAGATCAATTGTCTATTTGGGGATTCAGCTACCAGGCTTTTGGGGCCGTTGTCACTTCATATTTAAGTTTAGTTTGTGGTCTTATTTTCACAAGCCGGCAGCATATGTCAACTTGACGTGACGTGTTCAAAAGTGCAAGAGAAATATTCTGAATTCATGTTCTTGGTTTTAACAGTGCCTGAGAGAGGCAGATCTGTATTCATACCCAAAGCAGCCAGGCATTTTATTTTGGAGAGCTGTAGTCTCACCATTAGTTAAAAAAAAATCCATCTTCTGCCATACCTGTGTTATGTAAGTGGCAGTGCATGAATTTTCATTATCTTTTTGTTCCACTTGAAAAGCATCTTTAAGAAGCGACATTGTAAAAGACTGTTTAATGTTCAGTCTATATATTCAGATATTTGGACATGTCTTTACTGCTCTGTTTGGGTTTTTTGTTTATTTGCTTTTTTGGCAATATTAAAATCAGGAAATGAGGCAAAGACACTGAAATAGCAACTGAACTGCAGCTTATATATATACTTTCACCAATGGTAAGGCAATCCACCTACTTTTACTATAGAAGCTTTAACTCTGGCGAAAGAGATATTCATACCACTCAACAGTATGATCAGAACATAGCAATACGTATTTATTTTACGCCACGGTGTGAGTGAGGTGCGGCGCTGCCTCCGTGCTCCTTGCCCTGAGGAAGCGCAGGGATGCAGGAGCATGGGCAGCCTGGCACCGTGCTCGCACACACACAAACGTGCCTGTTGGGAATGGGCTTTTGGGGTTTCCACCGGGAAGCCGGTACCGCACGCAGAAGCGACTACCCGCGCGCTGCTGCTGCTGCTGCCGCTGCCTCGGGTGCTTCCTAGCACGGAGCGGGGCGTCAGCGCCGTCGGAAGGGTTATGGAGGGCTTCTTCCCTCTTCCAGCTGTAAACAGGTGTTACCTACCTACCTCTGCAAAGCGTTTCGAGGTCTTGCTGTTGACATGCAACCTCCAATTATTTCGTATGCCTAAATGATTTGGTTTTCAGTTTTGTACACAGTTTAAAATATTCTAGGTTGGTTTATGCACAAGCACGGCTGAAAGCAAGAAGTAACAGTCAGGAATAACATAAGAGGTTTTTTAAAAGGAATCTTATCTATCTAGTTTTGGAAAACAATTGCAGAGTAAGTTTTCTCTGCTTAATGTTTTATTATCAAGCTCTGTTTTTTGTCAGCCTTATTGGCATTGACTTGTTGAGTTTCCTCAGGCTCATGTGGGATTTTGCTGATAGTGATTAATCAGCTCTTGGACCTACTGGGCATCTGGTTTGGGCATCCAATAAGTTTAACAGATCCTCCTCAGCCCTCTTGGGTGAATGTACTTGCACCTTTCAAGTATCCGATGCTTGTCTATGCAACAAAGGCCAAATGTTCTTTACAAGCTCCTGAAGGTGCTTCTACAGTGATTTTACAAAGAACATGTGATGTCCACAGCATTCCCTTTAAAATATACTTTTGTTTTCTTTATAGCTACAGGGGCTCTCTATGGCTTTGATATCTTTATTATCTTTTAAAGAATAATGAATATACTTTAATATAATCTTTAATTCATTACTAGAACAGTAAAAACATTTTTTCAAGACTTAAATTTGTTGAGGTTACATGTAACAATGTGGTATTTAGAAAAAAGGCAAGCAGAGATTGTGCATCACCTCCAAAAATATAACTTTAAGAATTTGCTGTTATGCAGAAAGACAGAGTATGGATTTTCCGGAATGTCAGTGGGTGGCCAGTACTACCATGTATCAAGATAAAACCAGATTAGTAAACTAAGACTTACTGTTAAACTTATTTCTAAGCTAAGACAAGTTTGATTGTTACAAAGAGCATGTGTGTGGGCAATTTTTGGCTCATGGTTGGGAAACAAACTTGTTGAATGGATTTTGAGCTAGTTTTTCACAAGTTATTCACTTCTCTGATTATAATTCTACTTCAAATGTAAAAGCAGTAGCTTAATGTAGGGTGGCATCCAGCAGAGAATTAGTTGAGACAGTAGTATAAAGAGATAGAAAACTTTTCTAAGATATACTTATTGGGGTACCTTTTCTTTTTCTCTTGGTACTGCTACAGATTTCCATTGTAATCTCAACAATTCCTGTAACCTATTTCAAGCCAAATATTTTTGATCTTAAAGGAAAGAATGTCAGCTATTTCTGTAAAGAACTTTGAGGTACTTAGATGAAACACACCCTACGTAATGGTTATAAAGTTTTAATACAAAAAATCTGCAGCAAAATGACAAGGGATAAAAAATTTGAATTCTCTTGCTATTATCTTTCTGGCAAGGGAATTTTTCTGCTTCGTTGTGAGAAAGTTCATGATTTTTCTGACACGTGTGGAGTTGTGGCCTCCTGTGACACGCATACATGCAGCTACTTTCCCATCGCCAGTTTTTGGCATAATGTTCTCCTACTGAACAAGGCAATAGTTTGAATTTTGTATATCTGCGTCTAGTAAGATGACTAGCTTTATTACAAACGTTTGGTAACTTATTCTGGTTTAAATTCACCAACAACGTTTCTAACAGCAGGGAGATAGATGCTGTGCATGAAGAGTACCAGCAGAAGCTGAGAGAGCAAGAAGCTTTCCACAGGAAACAAATTCAGCGGCAGCAGCTCTACGTGGAGGAGTTGAAGCAGCAGATCCTCGCAGGACAGATCAAAGCAGAGCAGGAACTAGAAAACGACCAAGCACTAATCAACCAGCAGATCCAAGAAAGTGGGTGCCTGCCTCCTCCCCTCTCTCCCTTCCCTTTCCGTACTGACTTCTTTCATTACTCATGGTGCTTTGTCCTATTTATGTTTTGTATGGTGGAACTTCTATTACTGCTTATTGCTAGTGCTCCCTTGAGAGCAGCTGCCAGGCTTTGATGACCAGGAGTTAAGGGGCCTTCGTTGCAGTGCAGTCCCCTTTTGCTGGTGAGTGCCGGGGGTTGGCTCTGAGACAGCTTGACATGTGGAGGTCCCCCACATCTTACGTGTTTCATTAATGGTTTTGCCTGGAAAGTAGCACAGACCATCTTCACATGAAGCTTTTAATGAACTCCCCTCTGAAAATGGTTGTCCTAGGACAAATAATTGCATAGGACTGTGCGCTCTTGCTTCTTGGAAGCGGAAGATGCCTGTGAATTTTTGGAGGTTTGTCAGACCCAAACTCATATGGTTGGGCATCTCTCAATTATGCCAACCACAAGGAAGAGACTCGAGCGAAAACTGTGGAGATGGGATGTCGCAGAGGGAGAAGCAGGCTCTGTAGATAGTTCAAGGAACCAGGAAAGCTTCCTCAAGGCACCTGTATTTCATGACTCTGAACTTGTTCTCTGCTCTTACCCAGTTCTGCTGTTTCAGCTGTGTTCATGAGAAGCTTAGCCAGGCAGGCAGTTTTTGTCAGCCAACTATAAATCTTTAGTTGGCAGTTCACCAAAATGCTCTTGCCTTTTTTGCTCTCTCTGTTTCTCAGGTTTGATGCAGGCAACTATTTAAATGGTTTAATTAGAACCTCAGAGCTCTGTTAGAGAGACTGTCTTCTGCCCAATATCCTGCTTGCTAGAAACAGATAAAAGAGGGCAAATCTCAAGATAAAGAGTAGAGAAAACTGTTTTCCATATGAAAGTTCGAAATGTTTTCAAGAAAAAAACTGATCGTGACTAAAATTTATCCTCAGAGTAACCATAGAGCTGTAATCACAGCAACAGCTGTGTGTGTGTAAATCAGTGCAAACAAGGCAGGAGACTTCTTGTAGCAGGGGTTGCTAGTGATGTTCAACAAGATTGGTAGCCACCAAGCAATGCCTGTGCACTACTGGTCATTACACTTTTTACATTACAGAAACTTCCATGGCTCCAAATTCCTCTCTTGCAGCTCAGCTGCCCTATAGAAAGCTGCAGGTAGCCCTCGTTCATACCATCAGCTCAAATACCTCTTATTTCCTAACCTCCTGAGTATGTGAAGTTAGTTGCTCAATAAAGCACTGCAGATTGAAGCTGAACCCAGCCAAAATAGTGTTGCTGTAAGGAAGATGAAAGTGCTTTGAAAAGCTCGTGTCCTTGAGAAGCAGGTTGCTTACCGAGGAACCTTGCCTGTGATTTTTGCACTGCTGTCAGCTATAGATTCTTTCTGTGCAACTCCTATGTATCTATTTATAGCAGCATAAAAATGAACAAACTCTGCTCTTTCAGGAGATTGTGTCCGGGCCATTGGATATAATCTACCAGTGGTGATCCACTGGTTTTGATTGTTGCAGTTCATTCTATCTGAGATTGAAACCAGGGCACCCTTAAAAGCCACTAAGCACATCTCTTGCATGGAATAAAGTAACCTAGTCTAAGGAGATGCTAACTCACCTTAGCAAATGGAGTGGTGATTTTATGCACCAACTAGTGATACGAGCTTGTTTGAATATGCTCTCATGGCAACTATGCAGGTAAAACCAATACCTTTGCCTGCCCTGAGAGCACTTGATTCATTACATGCCAGGACATTACATGATAAGGTGCTCGTGTGCAGGAGATGTGGGTTTTGATCAAGCTGTTTTGGCAGGTGCTTGTTGGAGAGACTTGGTTACAGTAGGTAGCAAATGTTGTGATTGCTGGTCTACCTGGGCCAGATACCACTCGGTGTTTGGTTTTGTGTCCCTGGAAGCAACGCACATCCCAGCTTGAGTGAGGGGAGGCAGAGGCTTCAGGTGTGGAGCTGCTTTACTGAATTTGCTGCTGGTAAGAGCAAGCACAGAGCTTGCTGCTTTCCTGGGCTGAACGCAAATTGCCTTAGCCTGAATTAAGTTTCCCTTGTTTTTAGCGGGCTGAGTTACACCAGAGTTTGCAAGTACTAACTTTGTTGGTTCAGTCAAATTACACTTTCCAAAGAGGGAGACACTCAAATGCTATGATGAGGGGTCAGCAGCTTTTTAAGATCACTGGAATTACACATTTTCACTCAGTGTAAGAATATACCAGTTGAAGGCTTGCCAGCATGCTTGGGAAATTCAGATTCCTATTAGAGAAGCTTTGTTCACCTCTATGAGACATGATCTTCTAGTTCCCTTGACAGCTCAACACACATACATTACATGCAAACCTTAAAATGACTGTAGAATAGTTAAGGTAGAAGTAGTAACATATTTCAGAGTAAAAAGCCACTGAAGCCCCATGCCTGAAAGTGCACAGAATTGAACTTGGGTTCTTTAAATACTTTCAGAACAAAATTGAGATGATATTTGAGTATAATCTATGAGAAATTGTGTGTGTCACTCAGTATCTATGTGGAATGTGTTTCACTCATCACTAACAGACAAGGTCTGTCCACCGGTTTCCTTTAGCCCTTGCAGCTCCTCCTTCCTTCTTGCAGTTGGCTGAGTCCTTATCCTAGTGGAAAGGCTTTTGGTAACACCCAGTAGCGATGCATTTTTTTTTAGTGTCTAGTCAAGACTTTGCTATACTGCATAGAAATTTTCTCAAATGGGCTCTCAAAATTAAGGAGTTTAATTAAATTTAGTTTGATTAAATTAAGAAACAAGGCAGTGTTCCCCCCGCTATTCTTACTTTCTTTCAATGCTTTTGTTCACAGACCAGCAGTGGCTCCTTGACGAGAACAGCCGCCTGGCTGCCCTGCAGCAGCAGCAGCAGCAGCGGGAGTTTGCTGTGCAAACAGACCCCGAGGCACAGAGTGCAGCGCGCCTGGAAATCTGCCCCTCCCTGCTAGAGCAGAGCCAGAAGAGAGTGGTGCAGCTGGAGCTCTTGCGAAGATACTCCTTGAAGAAGGCAGAAAGAAGCATACGACGGAAAAAGGTCAAGTTCCAGCTGGAAAGGATAGTCAAGAAGCAGAAGTTACTGGAGGCTAAGCAGAACCTAGAGCAGTTGGAGGCCAGCTGCTGGCTCAGCGAAGACAGTGTGAAACAGTCCCAGGGCCTGAGCCAATGTATTGCAGTAGCCCCTTGGGATCATCAGCTGGGAAAGCACAGGAAGTCACAGGGTTCAAGTTCCTTGCCACAGAGGCGGCATTCGCTCTGTAACCTCCAGCTGCCCTGTGTACCCAGGTGAGTTAACATCAACAGATTCCTCTGGCACTTTTAGAAAGTAATTTAAGTTAAAGCTGTTTTCACTGGCCACCTATTAGCCCCAGAATACCTCTCAGTTTACTGAAGCAATCCTAAAACTCGTGATGTCAACAAGCTTACTATTTTGTATGTCGCGCTAGAGCTTTATCACTGTGCATTCCCAACTTAGCCCTATGACATGGTCTTTCTCAATGTTTCTTTTCTTCCCTCTCTCAAGCATTTCCACACGCTTTACTTCTGTGTAAATGTTTTCTAGAACTGGTTTAACTCTCTGTTCTCACCTTGTTCAGATAAATACAAATTTCTGCACCATCTTACCTTGCTGATGGTCAAACTTCCCTTAGAGTTTTTGTTTATTTAGGTTGATTCTGGCTGGGGCTCTGAGGCTGTCCAGCCTTTCTCAAGCTAAATACACCTCTCTCCACAGTGCAAGAAAATTGGGTTAATTAATGTGCCTACCTCAGCATGATCCAGTACTCCTGAATGAAAGGAAGAGCTGAATTATGCTGAACGGATTTCTTTGACTTAGAGCTATCCCCCCCCCGCCTTTTTTTTTAAACTAACTTATGCAGCTACATAGAATATCCATCTCTCTGTTTTAGCATCTAGCAGTTCATTTGTGTCACATGGAATGTTTTAGAACCTGTTAGGGACTATATGGTTAATATATATTTTTAGTTGTCCTCTGCTAAATTTGCTTTTGGAAGGTATTAAGATAGTGGCTTAGTGTGTCATTGCTCTTAACTGCAGGACATGACTGGGGTGAAAGCGTTGTAAAGTACATTATTCAAGTGAGGATTTTTTTTTCTTTTCACCTAGCTGTTTGTTGAAGAGGGGAGCTGTCTCAGAGTTACCTACCTCAGCACATACTGATCAATGCTGTGAAGGCAGTCCGTCAGGGACGCTGTCATGTGTAAAATACGTTTGCAGAAAAGATAAAGACGTTTCCGGAAGAGATGACCTTAATGATGAGAAAGGTATCTCCTTTCCAGTCCAGAGGCAGCTAAGTGAAAAACAAAAGACATCCTCATTTGGAAACAGAAGAGGAACTGATAAGGTCTCTAATGATACAGCTGTCATGGCTCATATTAACAAAATTGATCAAAAAATGCAAAAGTTGGATGACAGCCCAGGGGGAACTGGATCTCAAAACCTGCTCTCTAAAAGTTGCTCCCCTGATCATTTTAAAGAGAAAGATGAACCTGAAACCTTCATTTCAGGAACAAGAATGACAAAAGCAAAGGTGTTGGGAGATTTAAGTCAGCCTGTAAGCAGATGCCTAGAACAAAAGAGAGCTCAGGTATCCGATAAAAAGAATACAGTGGATAACAGTGCAAAAGGGTGTGTTTCACCATCAGAAAACCTTCCTAAAGAAATGGAGAAAACAGAGGTGTATGGAAAGCTGCTGTCAGCACACCTAAACCAAACAGCAAAGAGTTTGAAGAGAGCGCCAAACTCAGGCTTGCCAAGTTGTGAGAAACGGCAAGAATTTCTGATGGCAGCAGCATCAGTTGGAAATCTCACCAAGATAAACACACAGGCACCACTTTGTTATGTTGAAAAAAAATGGCACAGTGCCGAGATGTTGAGTGCTGGAGTGTCCAAGGCGGTGGCAGATGTGCTAGCCAACTGGCAGGAGAATGATGAAAATGAGATCTCTGATACTGACAGTTCCTACTCTGTAGATTCTCTCTCCTGTGCTTATGCAAAAGCCTTCACAGAGAAACTGAAACAGGAAGATTTTGACAGGAATAAATGTCTCACCAATCCAGAAGATTCCGAGAGTGATGACAGTCAAATGTCCCAAGATTCTCTGGTGGAAAAGGAACATAAAGCCAAAAAGCAAAATAAAAGCCGATTTCACAAGTTGAAGACCCGCAATGAGACAGCTAAACTTTACCAAAGCAGACCTGATCATCACATTTCATCTTTGGTGACCTCATGTGCATCACGCAGGAGATTGGGAAAAGCTGAGAGAAGTTTTTCTCTGGACAGCCTGGCTGATGGAGAAGAGCTGATAGAGGAATCCAAATCTGATTCGTCTGATGAAGTACCAGCAGAGATTTTTTGGAAGTTACAGTTTCCTGGGCCACCAGCTCTACACACTGAGGGAGACCGTGAACTCGAGACCTGTGACAGAGATACAGAAGGACCAAATTGTGATCTGAAGCTGAGCAGTTCCTTTTATTTGGATGCTGAGGCACAGCCTGCTTCCAGTAATGCCTTCAAGCAGTTGCCAAAGGACACAAAGGTCTCTCTTGTAGAACAAGAAAGGTCTCTTGATAAGAGGTTGTACTACACAAGTGGAAATCCATTGCTTACTACTGATGCTTGGCCTTCATGTGACTCGAAGGGTAAAATCAGCAGCCCCAGAATAACAGTACCTTCTTCCCATGAAAGTCTGGAATTTCAAGATGCTCGTCTGTGCTCAGTGGGCAAACCACAGGGTTGGTTGAAGAAGGATGATCTGAAGCAATCAGCTGCTGAAGTATCTTTTGTTTCTGGCTCAAAGCAGATAAACAGAATTACTCATTTAAACTCAGTGTTCTCCTCTGTCACATCAGAAGTACCTTTACCTGAAACTGAAAAAACAGCAGATGTGACCAGAGTTTCTGAAAATGGAACGTTAAATAGGACTCTTAAAGGATGGACAAATTCTGAAAAGAATGTTTTCCTGGGATCTCCAGATGTAATATCCTCATTTGTTAGTTCAGTAGAACCAGGTTCCTCTTTTCTTCCTATTTCAGCAAAACATGATTATTGTGAACGATCAAGGCCAGCTGTTCATCCTGAACATGAACAACTCAATGCATTGCCTACTCACAGATCTACCACTGAATGCGTGCAAACATTTACCTGCTTGGAAAGCACCTCCACGGCAGGCTGTTTGTTACCTGTGTCTGGAAAAGAAGATTCCCTCCCCACAACTCACCTGGAGCTGCACCGAGATGATGATCTGAGCAAAGCCTCTTTTATGTCTGTGTTGCCTGTTCACATTTTTGAGCAGAGAAGTTGCTGTGTAAATGCAGATTTGGAAGATGATTCCTTTGGAACTATTGAAAAAGATGACCTAGATGATGACTGTGGTAACTTGATGGCAGAATCAAAGACGACAGACACCAGAAGTGCACCGACCTGTGCCCCCGCCGCTGGATCTTCCACAGAACTTGCTCTTAATGTGGCCTCACCACAGCCATCTGCAATAAAACAAGTAAAATTTGGAAACCATGAGCAGCTCTTTCCAAGAAGAGAAACACCACCATGTTGTGATGAAGGCTTCTTTCTCAGTGACACAAGAAACAAGACATGCTATCCAGTAAGCAGTTGCATGATCCCAACAGTCCTTGGACAAGGAGCAGACTCAGCTGTTGCAGTCGGTCTCCTCAGATCTGAGGAGAGCACTCTGGAAACAGTGCAAGATATGGACTGTGAACAAATGTCTGCAGAAGAAATAACAGCAGACACAGACTTTTCTTCAGAGGAAGTAACATACCAATGCAACCCTTCAGTTTTTGCTCGCAGTGCAAGTTATGACCAATCTGCAACACCAATAGCGATATCTCAAAAAGAGATAATCTGCATGAAAACAAGCACAGACAGCTTGGCAGAGATTGTCTCAGAGATGCCTTTGTTCAGAGACAGCGAAGAATACAAAGCAAGGGATGAAGACTTGTCTTCATTAAATTGTTATGAATTTAAAAGCAAAGTTGTTTTAGAGAATTATTCCCATGAATGTTCACTAACAGACAGTCCTACAAGTTGCTTATCCCAGCGTCTTTCAGAAGATTCTTCACTGTGTCCTGATATCATACAAGAAGAAAGCAGTGAAAGTAAAGAACAGAGTATCCTGAGTTCTCAGCCTGTAGTTCAGGAAGAACTTTCATCCAAATATAAAAACCTGGTGGCAAATGAAGTTAGCTACCTCACGGTGAGCACAAGCGGGGAAGGCACTGGGGCCTTCCCTACCGCTCTTTGTGAAAGTACAAATAATTTGCACCCAGAACCCAATTCAGGCATGTTATACCAAACATCAGGGAATGCTAAACTTCCTCAAAGTGCTTCTGAGACTGAAAAATATGATCAACTATTGGAGCACATCACAATAGTGAAAGGAAATTGTAATGACAGATCTAATATGCCTATGGAAGTTGGTGTCCCAGAAAGTTGTTCTGGGGTACAGTCTAACTGCCTTTGCACAACATGCTGCTCAAAATCAACAGGGAGGAACAACAATGTGCCTAAAACTGATGTTTCTCTGGAATTTAATGCAACTGGTCTGCTGGAAACAGAAGTTCAGAGCAAACCTTTACTTGAATCAGGAGATCGTGCAGAGAATATTTTGCTTGTTGCAGAATGTGCAAGCTCAGAGTTGGGAAGAGTATTTGCATACAATACAAACACATTAGCTACTGTTTTCCAAGAGGAGAGTCCTTATATGAATGAAGAATCCAAGTTTTTAAATGATGCAGAAGAAACGATGGTTTCTTACCAGAATACAAAAGAAGAAATGACCAAGTTGATCAATGCTGTAATCAAATTAGAAGAAAATACATTGGAAAGTAAATTCGGACAGATTGAAAGTTTAAATGACTACCCAGTAGTCAAAGTCCAAAATGAAACTGAGGATAGTAGAGAGCATTTTAAAGGCAGCCTATCTCAGAATTCGAAGAAACCTCCTGATACTGTAGCTTGTGAAGGTCAGGGTGAGTTTCATACAAACCTGTGCCTGACAGCAGCACATGAAGAGGCAGAGAAAGAAGAAGCCAAGGTAGCAAGCGCTGGCGTAGAGCAGCACACTCAGGAACCCCAAGCAGTTGTATGGTCTGATAGTTGTCTTCAGACAAGTAACTTCTGCCAGAATTTTACTCAAAATACTTTAGACTTCCTTGATGCTTGTGAGGGGCTTTTACAAAGAAACACAGCACTGGAGGTGTTCAATACAGAGGACATAGCTGCAACAATAACAATGACAGGCAGACAAGGAAATATTTTAGAAAAAAATGAAACTGAAAAACAAGCAGGTTCTAGCAATTTAACTGAACGCTGTATCCTAGACTGCTTGTCCCACGAAAACTTGAATCAGGAAAGCAAAGTTACTGGATGTGAAGTGACTGGAGGGGAAGAACAAACTACCATGACGAACACTGAGGGGGTGCTTGTTACCAGGCAAGAGGATATATGCACAGATGAAAATGTTTTATTTACTGAAGAGATCCTAGCTGCACATCAGATATGTTGTGACGGGGATGATGATACGGGAATTTTAAATCAATTTGAGATCCCTGAAAAATACCTGACAGCTTCAGGCCTAGAACAAAATACTCTGTCAACAGATGATTCAGGGTTTGCACAGGATTACCATGACCATACAGAAATGAATGAAGATAGTGTTGAAATGAGTGAAGGTAGTGGCTCAGTAGACTCTGTTATGGATATAAAAAACACAGTGATGAAAGACATCAAGGTAGATGACTGTTCAGTTGGTGACAGTACTGCAATAGACCAAAGCAGAATTGAAGGAGGACCTAAAAGTCTCTGTGTTAAAGAGGACAACCATGTGTACATGAGTCGTGCTATGGAATACGCTGAGGACAGCACTTCAGAAAATACTTTTAGAAGTAGACCTGGTATTTGTGAATTGGATCCAGGAAGCTCCAGAGTTGAGGAGAAACAAGAAGTGCATTTGGTAAATGAAGAGCAAGAAGTCCAAGCAGACAGCAAAGAGAAGATGTTTTTTGAAGATGCAGAGGAGGTAGAAGTGATAGTTCTACAAAACCTGAATGAACTGTTCCCAGGAAGCAAAGACAGCTGCCAACTCACAGAAGAAAACATCAGATTAAATGAAATCTTAAGAAACAGCCAGTGGATGTCTACAAGCTTCTCTGGAAATAATGAAAACACCAGCAAGCCACAAAATCCACCAGCAACACTAAAATCTACAGAAAAAAATCAAGAAGGTTCACTTAGAGACTCTCTGTGCCAGCCTCTAAATCATCTTTTAAACCTCGGACTGAGTGAGGATTCCCGTCTTGCTCAAGATGTTCCCACTGCATTGACAGGACAGACAAACGCAGCTAACGGCAGTGCTGGGGCTGGAGCTGTTCTGCCGTGTTATGAAGCACTGCTGGAGGATGAGGTCTGTGTGGGTGCGTCTGCTATAGTCGACAAAAAGGGCGTAGATAAACAATGTCCTGATAAAATACAAAATAAAAGTGCTGCTTTCCCACAGACCGTGATCATGCTGGACAGACAGGAGAAAAGATCCTTTAACAGTGCACCTGATCCTGCTGCATCTGAGCAGCCCCTCAGTGAGAAGGACATCTCTTCTACCCCCTGCAGTATGGGGTGTTATGAGCCTGTAACTATTGCACTTAAGCAAGAGTCAGAAGGTAAACTGTTTTGCTTGGAAAAAATACATTCTTCTGAAGATAGGATTCAGGGTGCTAACAGCTCTAATGAAGAGCATAGTGTGGATTTAATGGTGAACAATCTGTCAAAAGACCATTTAAATTCTGTAGAAGATAGAGCTCAAGAGAAGAAGGGTGCCCTTGTGTCTCATTCACTGCTCTTGGATAATTCGAACTTGCTTTCTTCTTCAGAGAAAGAAATGATGGGAGATATGAGAAAAGAAATAAAGCATGCTTTGCTAGACATCACTTCTCAGAGAACGTTTCACAGTGTTAATGCAGCTCAGAAAGAGCTTCACTCATGGAGTTTATCACAATGTGACGAGAAGGAGAAATGTCTAAACACAAACTACACTGTAACAAACAGTAGTGAAGATAGTGCAGGGTTTCCTGATGTATTTGGGTGTCAGAGTGAGCCTAAAGAGATGCAGGAACATGGGACTTCTGAAGAGGGCTGTGGAGACTGTCCAGAGAGCTCTGTTTCTGAGAATACTTCAGCCCTTTCAGAAAGCCTGGACAAGTCCCCAGGGGAAGATGCACATTATAGTGAAGAGCTTCTAAATTATAACAGGAATTCTTATGCTTCTGAATGTTCTGCTGGTCGCCTGAATAGCCCAGTTCCATTTGCAGGTATTTTAATCAGCAGCAAGGGAGACAAATGTAGAAATGATGGTGTTCTCATTGAAAAAGCAAAGTACTTTGAAAATGAATCAACCAATTTAAGTGTATTTGTACCTCCTTTTGATGTTTGCTCTCTGAATCAAACAGATGATGAAAGGAAAAATAATTCAGCCATTACAGAGGCCACAGTTGCTCAGAATAATAAACTCTCCAAAGAAGTTGTGAGAACAGGTCAAAAGGGGGAAGCAATTAAAGATTCCTCCCAGAACTGCGAGGATGAAAGAGAAAATAAAATGCATGAGTACCTGGAGGACTACACCTGTGCTTCTCATGTGACTGTACCAGAATCAGCCTTGCTTGCTTTTCAAAGCCTGGGGCAGATTTGCAATAAAGAATCAAAGTCACTTCCATCCTACTCTGCAGAAGATCTTCCAAGTGATGCTCTGTTTCAAAGCTCCAACAACATTAATGCTTTCGACACTGCAAGTTTACTGGATGACTCAAAATCTCTAATATTTAGGCAGCTTAAGGACTCAATTCAAGGCAGTTGTTTGACGGAGCAAATCTCCTCTAGTTCTGCAGACCTTCACGTTGTAAAAGAAAGAGATTTTCCACCAGCATTTCCAGAAGGTAGTTACCCATCCGTAGCAGATTTTTCAGAATCTTCTTTAGCTGCAGATATGGTGCATGGAGAAGCAGGCGCATGCGATGTTTCACACACAGAAACTTTGAGGCTTTCTCCGTTTGCTGCTTTGCAAGTGCAGGACACTCAGTCCGACAAGGCTGTCGTTTTTGATCAGCCAGCACCTGCTTTGGGAAGTATTTTACTTTCTCTTGCAAAAGAAAACCAGCATTATCCAGTATCTGACACAGAATCATGTGGACATTCTGCAGTAGATGGGGAACCTGTACCTAGCAGTAATTGTGAGCAATTTGACAACAGAACAGCAGCTGATCAGCACCTCTGGGGTAAAGTTCCACTACAGAAATTTTGCAGAGAAAACCCAGAGAAGGCACTTGATCATGACAGTGATGATTCTCTTCTAATACCGTCATTACCTTTTTGGGATACTGGAAGGGCAGTTTTTATTAGAGAAGGACAAATGAGAGAAGTACTTACCAGAAATGAAGAAAATCTGCAATCAAATACTGAGGTCGAACCTTCTGCAGAAAAGAGTAAACAAAGAGCAACAGTAAGTAGAGAACCTGTTGAAATGCGAACTATGGCACCTTCAAATTCTCTGAATGAATTAATAGGCCCACAAATTGCAGTGCTGCAAAATCTGTATCCAGGAAATGTTATTGTGGATCCTGAACACACATGCAGTTCACCTGGTCCAACATGTCCCACGTACAGCAGCAGCGTTGATCCTAGAGGACTGTATCAAACTGCCTCTGGTTTCGACAAAAAGCCTGTAGATCTGCAAGGCAGTTGTCAGTTTGTACCTACAGGTGATAAGCTGAGAAGACTAAGTGCAGATGGTAGAAAAGAGATTATACTTTGCAAAAATAGTACAGGTTCAGGGGTTGATAGCCCTGCTGATGACGCAGATAGTTGTCAAAGAATGGGAGATGCTATAGTGAAGAATAACACTCTGAAATCAGAAAGACTGAAGTTTTCTGTAACGAATAATCAAAGTACCTCCTTAAAGTTTTTACCAGAAAACCAAGAATCCCAATTAGTGCAATTCAGGAGCAAACGATCATATTTTACTGCACAGAATACAAAGAGCTCTAAACAAAGTGAACAGCGACGTTGTTTACAAAGTCATAGACTCTCAGCTCCAGCTATTGCTGTGATCTCTGATGGGGAAAATACTTTGGAAGCTTCATCTAGAGCAGATCTTTCATCGTATCCCACATCTAGATCACTACAAGATTTAAATATGAGTGTAGAGCCTCCATCGCCAACTGAAGATGATCTTCATGGAATTGAAAGATATTCAAAGCAAGAATCAAAGAATTTTCTAGAGGTTAAATTTAAATCCAGATTTCAGCAGAGAATGAAGCAAACTAAGAAATCTGTAAACTACAATCCAAAAAGTTTGCAAAGTTTTGTGGAGAGAACTCAAAGCAGCCAGTCTTTAAAAGACTGCACTGTTCCTTCTCCTTCATCTTTACTGCCTGTAGCTCAGCATTCTGCAGGTACAGGAGCAAATATCCCTTCAAAGAGTAGTTCTGTAGCTCAGTGCAGTGAAGGGAGAGCTGAAGAAACTGGATACCAGTCAGAAGCGACAGATTTGTTTTTACAAGACAGTAAGGATGTGATGCATTTTAGTTCAAGTGATATCAATCCATATGTTCATCCCTGGCAACAAGATGGACTGTGTAAGATTGGTTGGAAACAGTATGTTTTTGGAAGTGCAAGTGATGTCTCTTGCAATCAAAATCCCTTAAGCCAGGATAATCGTAAAGTTATGAGATGTTCCAGTGTGGACAATGGATTGAATTCTCAAAATTCTCCTTTCCGTTCTCATCTCAGTTCATATGCGACAGCAAAAGTTCTATCAAGCACTTTAAGCAGCACTGATGATCTTCAAGGATGGGACGATATCAGAAGGGGCATTGAATCTGCAAACCCAGGTGACGGTACCAAGCAGTACAGCAATGTATCTAGTGAAATACTAGAAGACAATCTGGAAAATAATGTTACGGATTTTGCTAATGCTTCTGCACAGCCTGGTAACTCTTCAGTGCAGGTTGATGAAATCATGCTGCTATATCCTTCTGAGTCAGATAGGTCTTCCAAAAAAACACCAGGAATTATGTGTGAGCAGGGGACACAAACAGCAGCTACAGGAAGGTACAGGAGACAGAGGAGGCATCAGAGAAGCTTTACAGATGTTTCTGCAAGAAAGCAGGAAACCAGCAAAGATTCATTTCAGCAACTGTCATCTTGGGCAAGCATGCAGAACTTGTCCATGCATCTTTCACAGCTTCTTCAGAACACTTCTGAGCTCTTGGGAAACCTCTCCCAGCAAAATATCATTGATAACGACCAGAACGCTAAAATCAAGCCAAAGGGAAGGGAGGAAACCATAAAGGTTTCTAGATCAGATAGCTGCACTCAAACTACAGCAGATATAGGCATTCAAACTGAGATTTCAGAACCTCAAAGCAAACAGGAAGACAAACTAGTACAGGCAAAAATGGAAAATGAATTGAGGACAACTCGGGCAGGAATCATTGATTTGAAAGGGATTGGTGCGGATGCAGTAAGGAGAATTCCTCAAAACAAAGAGGGAATGCTCTCTCTCAGAGACAGAACACCAGAAAGAGCTGAGATGAGAACTCTGAGCACTCCTGATTTCCATGGCAGTCTTGACAGCCTTCTGGAAGATTCCTTTATGCGTCTGCCCCTCTTAACCAGAACCTCCACTCCCATCTCAGGCTTTCAAAGAGCACTGAATGCGCAGCAGAACGTTGCTTTCGCCAGCACCAGAGTGTCAACCACTGCATCCTCTTTGCTAAGTTCGGGGCAGGATGACTCTTCGTGCACTGCAGTTAGCAGCCCTACTATCAGCAGCTTGCAGTCTCCAGCATCCTGCACTCCGGATAAACCAACTGCTGATGAGCTGGAGGTTCCAGCAGAAAGAAAACTCTGTCGCAAAACCACGTTGTTAGTTGACAGGGCCTCTTCCCCTATCCTTACGCTTAGTGCTAGTCCCAACAGTCACGTAGCTTTTAGCAAGTCTGTCTGCTCTGCTAAGGGGCCTTCGAGCCCCCTTCACAGCCAGAGAAAGCCGAGCGCGGGAGCGCGGGGGAACACGGAGCCACAGGTGGACAACTTCTCCCAGACGGAAACAGACAGCGAGTCAAGTGCCTCCAGAGACAGCCAGGACACCAGGCAGACGTCTGGCAGTTTCTCGGATAAGATCGAAGCCAAAGAGCTCTTAAGAAGAGGTGGCTCAAAGGACTTGAAACAAAAGCACAGGCTCACGGTTGATACCCACACTACAATTTGTGCTAAGCGACTTTATCACTCCAGCAGTACATTAGAGCTCTCTGGCCACAGGGAATTTTTAACAAATGATCTTGGAGACCACAGTCCACTGGAACGTTCCCTTCATTGTATGTACGTCACAAGGAGAGGAAAAGGCTCCTTAGGAGGAATCAGGCAAGAGAAATACGTGGGTAATTCTGACAGTGCTTTGGTTCATAATTACTCACCTCCAAATTCTGACTTACTTTTTAAACGGGAAATTAGAGCCACTTGTTCAAATAAGACAAATGCCGGCGAATCTCCAGAACCTCAGGTAGAAGCATCTTCTCTTCAACTGCGTGATTTCTTTTGGAAAAACGAAAATAGCTGTCTGGTCCCCGTCTCTGACGTGAGTGACGTGCAGACCTCCTTGCAAGGTGACCATGCAGATTGCTTCTCTGAATGTGACACTGAAATCCTTCTGCGCAAAAACCCAACCTTTGCAAAGCCTCACAGGCCTCGGAGCTACAGTCTTCGTGACTTACCTGTACACAACAAATTTAGCAACTGGTGCGGCGTTAAGGGCAGCCCTCCTCCTTCGTTACTCAGCTTGAGCGGCAGCGCGGCCGACGTGCGAAGCCAGGCAGAGGGGGCTTCTCTGAATGTGACACTGAAATCCTTCTGCGCAAAAACCCAACCTTTGCAAAGCCTCACAGGCCTCGGAGCTACAGTCTTCGTGACTTACCTGTACACAACAAATTTAGCAACTGGTGCGGCGTTAAGGGCAGCCCTCCTCCTTCGTTACTCAGCTTGAGCGGCAGCGCGGCCGACGTGCGAAGCCAGGCAGAGGGGACGGAGCTGGCCGAGGCCAGGCTCAACTACGGCCTGGGCGAGACGGACGCGCTGCTGCGAGCTCTGGGGGACGGCGCCACCATGCCGGGCCTGGCGGCGGCCACCGTGAGGCAGCAGCTCTATGAGCGGTGAGTGCGTGAGGTAACGGTGAGTGCGTGAGGTAACGGTGAGCGCGTGAGGTAACGCCATGCTCGGTGTGGGAGCGCCCTCCCGTACCGGCCCTTCAGCATTTACTGTCTGCAGAGATGCAGCATTGAGCTTTTCTTACACATAATCAAGTAACGCTTTTAAGGCAAAATTTAGAGGTTACTTAAGGCGAAAGGGAAAGGTACAAGACTCTGCCATTCAAATCAAGTGTCACCCTACTCTTAAAATTGTCAGCAGTATGTACCGTGGGACTGTATCTTGTGGATTTGTTGCAGTGTAAAAATACTTGATTCATCCTATTTTTCACGGTATCTCGTCCTTGCTTTTGTGGCTAAACACTGCTGTATGAACAATAGAAGAAACAATTTTAAAAACCCACAAAAAAGCAGAAGGAATTATGGAAATCAGGATGTTACATTCTTGTGACTGGGTGACAGAACTGAGTTTGGGGAAGATAATGTAACTAAAATATATATATATAAAACTATCAGTAACTACATTAGTCTCCTTTCTCAGTTTGCCTCTCAGCCCTTTTGAGCCTTAATCAAGGCATTTGTTTGCTTTTCCTACTGTTAAAAAAGCAGTGGAGTTTCAGAATTTTTGCATCATCTGTTACCATTTGACCAAAGGGATATGGCTGGCAGGGGATGTGCATGCTATTAGATTCCTAAAAATTTTACATGACAAAGCTATTTAGTTTTGAAGGTATTTACAAAACAGAAATTACGACTCCGCACAGCGCACTTTGCAGCTCTAATCTTGTTTTTCCTGACAGACACATGAGAACTATTGAAACTCTGAGGAAGGAAAGAGAAAAAAGGCTGCAAAGGTACCGAAGAAGCCGAAGTTTGAGTCCTCAAAAGCACCTGAGTCTGTTGCAGATGCTGGATGCAAGTCAGAGGGATTTAGATCTTCCCAGCAGACGGCGAGAATATCTGCAACAGCTGAGAAGAAACGTGGTGGAAAATACTAGGTAAGGTGTAATGAGCATCTCCCTTGAATGTCTCAGTGTTCATGATAGCTGCACATGAACAATTTCCACTGGCTTATCTGTCGTTTCTGTGTCAGGAGTCAGCAGAACAGCAGAGGAATTATTCTCCATAATGCTGAAGGCAGAGTGGTAACATTTGGAATAAGAAGTGTTTTCAGGATAATAACATGTGCCTGATACCAGAAAATCCTTAATTACATTCTTCCTTCTGGCCAGTTCTTTTACAGTATAAGTGCCTAATTTGTTTTGTGTGTGATGTAAAAGGAAAGCTAAGGATTCAGTCTTGACTGATTATAGATCAATCTTGTTCCTTCTCTGACTGAAAAGCTATAGGATGTGTCATTTTAAGTATTAAAAAAAAAAAAAGGGTTTCACGGCACACATTTCCACCTGTGTGGAATTTGAGTTTTTTTGCTCCCCTTTTCCCCAAAATGGCTTTTGGTTTCTTTATAGTAGGTTGGTAGAAAGGTGCTTTCCCAGCACAGTTATTCCACATGTGAAATCAGCACAAGTGCTAGAGTAATCTCAACTGAACTTGCAGTCTGAATTCATTTTCCAAGGCTAAACCTCTAAGGAGCAAAGAGAAACTTTTGGGAGGCTACTGTGATTACTTGCTGTTCTTGAAAATTTTCCAGGATTTTCTCCTGGTACTTCGGCCAGTTACCTGGTTTCAAGTAACCTCTATGCTGTTTTCCCCCCTTACAGAGTTCAAGAACCAAAAAGAAGTGTTCAGCACCCTTCAGAGATTGAGCTATTGCTCCGAGACTATCAGCGGGCACGAGAGGAGGCCAAGACTGAAATTGCACGAGCCAGGGACAAGCTGCGCGAGCGAGCTGAACAAGAAAAGAGGCGCATCCGGGAGCAAATATTTTCTCAGGTGCAGAAGGTGAATGTTCCAAGTTGTCAGCACACGGTCAGACCGTACATGATCCCTCTTTGACCTTGCAGTGCTGTTGTCTGCACCGCTTTGACTCAGTGCTGTGTCAGGTAGGTTTGGTGCATTTCAGTCTCTAATAACCTGACATCTGCTACAGGAAGAAGCCAGGTTGAAGACTCTTGCGAGTACAAGCACTTTATGTACAGACTCCAGCCTCAGCCTCTCCTCTGGCCCAACATCTGGCTACAACAGCAGTAACACAGCTACGTACACTGCAAGCAGACTCTGCGGCCGCGACGGACAGGTGGGAGCAAATTGTTGCTGTCTGGTCATTGAGACTGATGCCTCCTGATGGTCCAGCAGGAGCAGGGCTAATACAGATCCATGATGTTCATGTTCAGATGGTTCATGTTCTGTGGTACCTCTCGTGTCACTGGTCCATGGAGGGCTTACACACAGGGTGGAAGGAGCGTCACAGTGTAATTGCAGAGGGCAGTGATACTTTTGTTTCTTTATGGTTCAGCTGATTTATAAAAGCCAAACAGTGTTCCTGGCGCCAGCAGTGCCAGCAGTCAAACGTTTTAGCAACAACCAGGTGTTTTTTGTGGTAAACCAGGAGCTGGTGTGGTCAGCGTGCCCCTGAGCCACAAGGGATGCACACACTGACTTGCAAGAGTTTGTGTCTGACCATGAGCAGTCCTGAGGCTGGGAGCAGGTGCCTGCAGGTGGCTCCTCACACTCCCCTCACTGACTTTCCCAAGGGAGGTTACTATTCATAATCATCTGAAAGCAAAGCAGTCATGCTGTATAACGAAAAGCTTCCAGCCTTACAAAGCAGACGTGCTGTATTTCACTTACTGTGTTACATAATTTTTTTTTCCAGTTCACACCAAATCACTTTTGCTCTTTCTCAAATTAGGTTTCTTCTGGAAATGCAGAGCTTTCAAGAGGAGATGCCAGAGGTCGCTCAGCTGTTAGAAACAGTCAACTTCGTGGCTCAGAAGAACTACAGAAGGAGTCAGCATTTGGTAAGTACAAAACATGCATCTGCTTGTGTTGCAGTCATGTTTCAAAACCTTGTGAGATTTGCTTTTTATGAAATCCAAATTTAATATGAATTCAAGTATTTTGAGGATGTTTTATTTATTATTATGGGACTTTTGAAAAATATCGTTAGCCAGAGTTTAGTTAGTATTTGCCAAAATATTAAATGGTGATTTGGTTCCCCTGATAGTGTTTGGTAATATTTTGCAATAACCTCAAAATGTGAGCTTAGATCTAATTGCGGGGTAATTACCAATAGACAGATTGTCCCAGACAAGAGCTGGTCTTAGTCCTTCCTCAGGGTCAGGTTGACTCAATCCTTCAGTGGAGGGTTCAAGTCCCTGTCATTGAAGAGTACTTTTTTTTTTTCCAGTGTCCTTTTAATGCTTGTTTTCTTTTTGATTTCTTTTCATGCCCTGCAGAAGCCAGCAGAGTTCAGCCACCCCTTATCTCCGGTAGCATCAGCTGTAGATTCACTCATGGACTAACTATTTCAGTCAGCTCCTCATCAACAAAAGGATACCAGGATTTATCTAAGCATATCTTGGCCAATGCTACCACTGAGGTGAGTAAGTGAGCAGTTTTCATTTCTTACTCCTCTGGCTGTCTCCGATAGTTGTAGCAAAACGGTGTGTGGGACAAATTCTGTTCTTCTGCACTGGTGATATTGATTTATTTGCCAGCTGCAGAAGGAGACGTGGAACAATTTTGAACAGTAGGGAAAAGAAAGCCAGGCCAGAGCACTGGCATTCAGAAGATACTGTTGCACATTATCCAGGGTGTTTAAAAGAAACTGGTAAAACTGTGGCCTGTTGCAGAAGAGGGTGGGAGACTTACTGACTCACTGACATAATAATCCAATTTTATTATTTTAGCACTCAGTGCTCATCTGGGTCTTACATAAAAATGTAATTTTTTATTGTACTCTCTGCTATTGTTATTCTTCCTACATCTGTGCATGGCAGGATGTGACAGTATAGGTGGAAGAAAAATAAGTAAACTTTGTGTTTCACATCAAACAGATTCAGTTCAACAGTGTTTGGAAATGCTTTTTTTTCTCTGCCCCCCCCCCCTTTTTTTTTTTTAAACAATAGACAGTTTAAGCTAACAGGACTCCATCTTCAAGCAGAAAACATGCAGGGAGTCAGTGGGGCTGACTACTCCCAAAGGAAGGCAAGCATGCCAAGCTGTGGGTTGCGTGGTAAAGGCCCCTGCCTGCTTTGGCTAGCAGATACTGCAGCATCAGAGCTGAACACCATTTATAGTTTCTGCAACTTTCTCTTAGCTGCTGCTCCCTTGTCTTTGTTTTCTAAGGTAATGGCAGCCTGCTCCCAGAACCTGAGGAATTTCTATACATGCCAGGCAGCAGCTGGGTGGAAGTAAGTTTATGGCAGGTACTTAAAATGAGAAGTCTACTTATGCACTTGAACCTCTCTTGTTCAAATTCCTTTTTATTTGTCTTTGACAGATACCAGTGTACTGAAAAAGAGGTGCTGATTTACTACAAAGCCTTCTCTTCCACAACAAAGCATGGGTTTCTGGGAGCAGGGGTGATAGAGAGGTCTCTTCCAAGCGTGTGGGGACTGGTGAGAGATCCCAGCAAACGGCACCTGTATGACAGAACTATCAGCACAGCTCAAATACACAAGCAGATAACCAGCCACATTCAGCTGGGTGAGTATCAACACAAAGGACTGGCCAACAAGATTATTCTGTACTGCCTCAGCTTGAAGAAGAAAAGATTAAAGATAAGTTTAGATTCATCTCATTTCACTGTTTTAAGCTTGAATATACAGAAAGTTGTTTAATACAGGAATTTGTTTCGAGAAAAATACTTGCAGACTAAGGATACTCTATAACACAACTGTCTGCTGCAGTGCAGACAGAAGGCAGAAGAATCTGGTTTAAGTGGCTCTTGAGAGTGTTGCAGCCTAAGGACAAATTATTTTTATAGCTTATATTACTCCCTAAGGCAGATACATCAAAAAAATAAAAACATTTTTTTCCATGGCAAGTCATTGTTGTCAAACCTAATTCTCCTCTTTTGTTTTTTGTTTGCTTTCCTCCCCAGTATATTTAGTGACTGACACCTCCCTGTGCTACCTAAAGCAACCCCGAGATTTCTGCTGCATTACTGTAGAAGCCAAAGAGGTAAAATGTTTTCTCCGAGGCATCGTGAGAGTGGGCTTAAAGTCATGGTTCAAGGACTAACAGAAAGAAAAGTTCATGCTCATATTTGGGCAGAACAACAGGAAGAAAAGCCGTGCTGATATGACAAACTACTGATGTATGAAAAATCTCTCAGAAATCACAACCATGAATCAAGCCAGATGAAGTAGTAAAACAAATGTTACAGCACAGTCTGTATACAAGCAGGATTAGGACAAAATATTTAATAAGTAATTTGGTAGCAACAAAAAAAAACATATAAAAATGTCCAAAAAAAATCCTCAGCTGTCATCTTTGCCCACTGTCACATGCAGGAGAACTTATCTGTCTTGGCAATCCAGTCTGTCTACGATGCCTCCATGCCTCAGCCCTGCAAGGAAGTGGTGAGAGGGGAGGTTTTGCCAAGTGCCTGGATCCTGGAACCTGATGTAGTGAATGGAAAAGAGGTCACCAGAGTCATTTACATGACACAGGTAAGATTTTTGCAGTATGTCCAACCAGTATGATTGCTACAGAGTCCAACTTCAGAGCTGGTAAGTGGGGAAAAAAGGATATAGTACTCATGCTATGGCCCAAGAGGATTGAATTGATTATAAGATACCTCTACTTAATACTCTCCTTTATCTAGTATGATACATACAGTAATGCAGAGAGAATCTTACTAATAACGATCATAAGCATTAATAATAAAAGGTGTAATAAGCATATGTGCTTAAGTTTTATAGCACCTAAAGCTGCTGCCTTGGCCTCCAAGATCTACAGCAGAGATTTATTAGCAATTTTAATATGCTGAATTCTCATATGGTGAGCCAGCAAATGCTATATCCAGTGTTAAAGACTGATAGTCATCTTGGCATTTTCATCCTGCAGGAGAGAAAGGGAGACCAGCTCTGGCTCCATTCATTTTCAGAATGCATGGAAGTGCTTACGGCTAACTTTCTGTAACAAATGTTGTAATTCCTCACTTAAGAGATACAAGAGAGAAGTCAAAATTAGGATGCCAGTTCAGACGGAGAAAATCCTGCATTTCTCTTATTGCAGATTCATTTGAAAAGGCAGCTGTCTCCAAAACAATAGAACCAACTACCTAGGAATATCCACAGGAGATACCCCTATATGTACAACATATTTAGTGCTCAGATAACTGGTCAAAATAAACATCACTCCTTTAAGCTTAGCTATATTAAGTATGTTTCTAGGATACAATCTTTTTTAATACTAATGTCAAGCTCTACTTAGCTATATGCCTTTCATACTACATATAGAACAGGCATGCATTTTATAATGCATTTTAAGGAGCATATGAACATACCCTGGAACAGTAGCATTATACACCTCTGGCCCATGAGCCACTAACATTTAATCCAATTGAGCTCAAACTAAAAAGGGGTGTGGATCATCCTTGGGGAAAGTACCATCAAATACCCAAACTTTGGAAAAACTAGGGAAGAAACAGATACAACCCACCACAGTCATAACAATTTTCAGCTATAAACTACTTCTGTGCTAACTGTATGCTTGCAACGTCAGAGCTGTTGCAACTGGAGAAGTGTTTTGTTCAAAAGCAGGTATATACATTTAAAATAAAATAAATAATATTAATAAAGTAATAACTAATAATTAGGTGCTGTTCTTCTAATTTCTCCAGGTGGATCTTGGTGCCCCAGCGATTCCTGCGAGGCTCCTGAGCTCCATTGCTAGGCGGCAGCCTTTGGTGGTTGCTCGACTAGCACACTTCCTTTCTAGTTAGGATGTGCCACAAAGCTGGATAGTTGCAGCAGATGGAAGTCTGGAGAGACACAAGCATCTGTAAGGTAAAAATGTTGGCTCCCAAGACGGACGCAGCTGAGACTCACTTGAGGAGCCCAATTGCTAACATGGGAGTACACAAAACTATAACCAGAACCACCACCCTGTGTTTGACTCAGCAAGTTTTAAGGGGTGCCTTCCCGAGACAGCTGTGCAAGAGCTCTTCAGGAATGGCAGGAAGGTATCCTGGCTCTGGGAAGAGGAGAGAGAAATTTCACTTTATAATAGCTAGCCTCATAGATGCAGAGGTGCATTACAATTTATCTGTTTCCAAAATCAAGTCTTCTGTCTCTGAGATTCTTTAGACAGTGATGAGAAAAGGCAACAGAAGTGATGAAATATATTAAAATCTGGAAACAGTGAGTGTAACTGCAGTTGAGACCTTTTGCAACTTCTTCATTAAAGATGCACAGCCACTTTCTAATGCTGAGACAAATGTCAGATGCAAAATTCTCAGCAGTGTAGATAGCTCGCCAAGTTAAATGACTTCCCTTGAAGGGAAAGTCAAAACAGCATGAGAGACCCACTAGTCATTCTACACCCTGGACAGATTGTTTCTGATAGTTGGCTGACTACTTGCAGGCATTTTAGTCAGATTGCCACTACACTATGCAGCAACAGCAGAAAACACCATAACTCAGGACACAGTTTTACTGCACTGCAGAATTAGGTGCTTTGAAATAAAGAAACCAAACCAACAGCTGTGAACAAGGACACTTGGTCATTAGTAGGGAGTAGTGGTGACCAGTCAGCTTGTTTCTAGAATTTACATCCTGCAAATAAAGGAGCTCCAGCACTTTTCTCATCAGGCCTTTTACACTTCTACCCAAAGCACTCGGAGTTGAAAAGCCAGCCTGGCAGAGTCTTATCACACTTTATTATTGATAACACAAGGAGCTGTCTCACTGCAGTGAATGAAGAATCTTCCCATTCTCTTACCTCATGATACTCCTGTTGAACCTTGTTCAACCACGTTGCTGTCAGGCTTTAAATTCCATGGGTTAGCCACACATGCCTAAAATTAAACAAAAGCATAACCAACCCTGGAAGCTTAAGTAAGTAATTTAGTTCTCTGCACCACAGTAAAGAATCACGTCAGATATAATATCTAAGCAATAAAAGCTGCCACAATATTCTTTCTTCAGCTCAGAAAAGCCCACATTGTTCAAACAAGCTGTTACACTGCAGACTTGTCAAGTGTAAAATGTGTATTCCAGCATCCACCCTAGAGCCAACCTCTGCTGCTTTAGCACAGTTACCCTCTGTTCTGTAAGGAAGAGATGCATTTTCCCAGCATCCGGGGAAGTGAACTGCATTCCCGCCTTTGAGTCAAGGGCCAGTTTCCACCTTTAGTGCATCTTTGCTCTTGTTTAACTTCCAGCTTCTACGTTGCTTTCTGTCATTAATGTATCAAATTTTATAAGAAAATGTAATAGTTATTTTGATATTTAAGAAAATAGCAGTTTTGAGGTATGCCAGCCCAAAAGTTCCCCTCCCCACCACCTCTCCCAGCCAGGACTACAAAGCCTTTTGCTTACCAGTGTTGTTGCTTTGACGCTCAGCGGCCCGGGGCGCTCTGTGTTACTGCTCCCTGGGGCAGGCAGCCCGGCCTCTCCTCAGCGGCACAGCCCGGCACAGGCTCCCCTTTAGGGGGAAGGGAGAAAGGAAACGTGAGCAAGGCAGAACCTAAAGAGCCCTAGGGAAAAGAATAAGCAGAAATTACAGCACAGTGCGTTGGCACTGTCCCCACTGCTGCTTTCCTGCAGCTAGGCACAGGCTTCAGGTGGAAGTCGGGGATGCCTTCACACAGTCCCCAAAAGATTTGCTCATTGCTTTATTTTTTTCCTTTTATTTTTGGACATGGCACTAGTGATAAAGCAGTTCGTGCAGGAACAACATCTTAGGGGGACTCCTGTTGATCACCAATGTTAGTGCCTATGAAGGATAATGTCTTATTGTACAGTGCATCAGATGTTTATTTTTATATACACATAAAATTGTTTTTTCTATGTTTACAAATTAAGTTATTTATATATGCTTGTTTTGAAGTGTTTTATATTCTATCAAAGCTAATTTTATTTTTATTGGTATTGAATTAATGTAAGCTTTTTTTTAAATGCAATTTCAAAGTGATACTAAGAAAACTATTTAAAAAATGTTTTCTTTTGCAAATATAACATTTTATGGTACCTGTTAATGTATGGCATTCGTTTGTTTGGAAGGGAAAAAAATCTAAAAAAAATCAAATCTAGCAGATACCTAGTTTGTTAATTTAGAATAAGCAAAACAACATCCTGTAAATTACTGCTGAGCAGTAGGCGATCAAACCAATTATCCTGTACCACCTCTTGTTGTATCTCTGCTCTCAAACAAGATTGCTATTTTCATATCCACAATAAATGGTATTTTCTACACAGGAGGGACGTGCCCCACAGTCTTGTGCTCTAGCTAAGCTACTTCCACAGGAACTGCTGCTTACGGGGGTGGTGGCTTGCTATTCAGGGGCCTCCTTTTTCGTGGGATTAAGAAATACAGGCACCAACGGAGGCATCGGAGGAGAGGTGGCTCTTCTCCTTATCCTGGGGGAGGGCGCAGGGAAGAGGGTTTTGTGGAGCAAGAGTCCAGCTCGGGAGTCGCTGCTGTCCTTCGGCTGCTGGGGCTCAGGGCCCCGTGCAAGCAAAGGCTCCGTGCGCGACGCCTGAAGGGCTGCTCCGTGCCTGCCCGGTGCCTGAGCAGCCCCACAGTCAGGGCTGCTCCGTGCCTGAACCACCCACGGCAGCTCTGCTGTTCAGCGTTTCCCTTGGGGAGCTGCGAGGGGCACGAGGCCGCCCGCACTGCGAGTCGCGCGGGGCAAACGCTCCTCCCTGCGGCTTGCAAAGGCCTCGGCCCCTGCTGCCCCGGAGTAGAGCCAGCCCTAGGGACCAGGCAGGGTGCTCAAACCCTGCCCCAGGGAAGGGCAGCAGCCACGGAAGGCCATGCGCAGCCCTGCACCGTGCACTGCCCTGCGCAGGCTCTCGCGCGTGGGGGACACCCGGTAGCTGGCTTAGTGCAGAACAGCTCTCACAGGATGCCCAGCACCTCGGGGGACTGCATCAGGAAAGGAGAAGATAGAAAATAGGGTTCGTTCTTACCTTCTGGGTCCCGCTGAAGAACTGACCGCTGCGCCATCGGGCACCATTATATCGGCCCTCTCAGGACAAGGTTAACTGTTTCTGGGGCTTGGCCACCTTTTAAATAAGAGGCTCCAAACACTGTATTGGAAAAGGATAACATAGATATGGGGCGTTCATGAAAACAGATGTGGCCATGGTATCTATGTAGAGTTTTAGAATACCTGAATACCTTCTCAGTTCCAGAGAAGAAAATAACTCTTACCATTATGGAGCCACGGTTCGCCTTCCTTTCCTTCCTCTATTTGCACAACAAAATCATGTTATATTTAGTAGTAAGCGAAAAAAAAAAAAAAAAAGGCAGCACCAGGTAGAACTATAGACTGTAGTTTTTTTTCTGCCCACACTTTATGGCAAATAACCAAAACAAACAAACAAACAAACACACACACACCACACACCTTTCTGCTCTTGGCATTACTACAAAACTGTTATGCATCACCAGCTTGGACATAGGACATTTAATCATGTTTTTATTATGACAACAACTTAAAGGGAGACCAGCAGCAAAATAGCACATAACACACACAACAGCCTCAGGGAGCAGGCATGGCGTGGACAGGACACGTGCTAGTTCTGTTTATATTGCCATGTCCTTGCTGCAGATGCAGCCCAGCTACTTCTAGGTACCCGCTACCTTAGTCACACCAGAGCACCTCTGAAATAAAGCATGGAGCCCTTCATAACCAAATCATGCTCAGTATAATTCAGACCACAGCCACGTCCCTCTACAGTCTCTCCCTCCCTCTGCCCCATCTAGATTTTAACACTTTTTTTTTTTTTTTTTTTTTTTAAAAAAAAACCTAATTAGTCCTGGAGTCGTTTTAGGTGCTTGTTTTCTGTTGTTGCAAGAGAGAGAGGGAGCGAGGAGAAGGGAGAAGAGCAAGCGCGCGAGCCACTGAGCTGTTACCTCTTCCTGCCTCCTCCAAGGAGGACGGATCTCAGTCGCACTAGTGAAAGACCCTGTCGTCACCTTGCCCAGCTGTTCCCCTTACAGCGTAGGGCATTTGCTCTCCGAAAAGCTCATGCCAATAGGCCGAGTCTAGACAAGAGGCAGATAGATAAGATCCCTACTGCTACATGAAAGACGAGGAGACACCCAATAAGCAGCAAACCTCATTTCACTGGCTACCCACAGCCCCCGTAACAAACCCCATCCAGCGACACGTGTGGGTAATGGGGAGGTCAGACCCCGGCGATGGTCTGTCCCAAAGGGGCAGAAAGTGCCCCACTCTCCTCCATGAACTGGAGTCCTTCCAAATCAGCGCTCCAGAGGATGTCACAGAAGACCTTTTTTTTTTTTTCACTACTATTTTTCCTGTCTGTTCTTCCAATCTGTAGTTTTTCTTGTTGGAGCATTTCCGATCTGAAAAACCCAAACTCAAGGCAAGAAGGATTATACAAAAACAGCAAATGGCTACATGCCATTTATGCTCACATACTATAAAAACATTTCTTAAAAATACTGTCAATCTGTCCAGTAAAAAAAATACACAGATATTTTCTCCCTTATCTCCATTAAAAACCCCAGGAAATTACAAGTTAGACTTCCATCAAGAGATGGCAAGGAAAGAAAATCAAAACAACACATACAAAGCCTTTCAGAATAATACCATCAGTGCTGGTGCACATATTTAATATGATTTTACTTTTAAAATGAGTCTTAAAAAATTAAAATCAAACCTTCGAAATTGAGTTTACAGTCAAAAATAAATATAGGCTCATCTCCGTGTCATACAGGGTCACCTCTTCTCTCCCCTGACAGTACAGTCTTTGTGAAAAGAGAACAAGAGAAGTCACATTAAATTAATGA